TCTCCTATCCAGTCCCATCTCCTGGACCCACAAACCAAAAAAGAGTGCCTGGGAATGAGAGAGCAAAAGAGAGAGAGACAGAGAGAGAGGGCTTTGATTGAAACCAAGACATCGGGAGGTCTCTGTCTATGAATCAGGGTTATTTGAATCAAGGGAACTCATTTGGCCTCAAGCACTTAATCATTTTATTCCTCTTTCTGGTTTTATTTTGAGACATTAAGAGGAAAGAAGCATCATGGGGACTGAAGAGAGCCTTTTTCTCTTTCTAGCTGCTGCTTCTGGAGTCCCTTACCCAATGCCCAGTGCATATGTTAGGCCAGATGGCTTGGACTCTTGGCAGCCAATTCAGCTGCTCAAGAACATGGTCGTGCTTAACTTCATCAACTTGACTCTGCTTCAGTTCACCATGGAGTAGAAGCATGATACCGATCAGTTTAATTAGTTTAATGAGGGCTGAGGGAACTGGTCCACATTTTGAGTTTGCTGCACAGAACAAATTGGTTTGCCTTGCTCCCTCCTTGATCATTTAAGCATTCAAGAGGCTGCTCTCAATCATTCCCTAAAGGGGTTTTCACTCGCTTCTGTAAGGAGTACCAACATGACTGGGAGTTCAGGAAGTCAGTTCTTCAAGAGGTTCTTTTCTGAACAATGAAGACTCAGAGTACACTAACTAAACATTAAACCCACTAGAAGACTGGACCCTCTGCTGTAAGGGTTCCTGATCCAATATAAGGCAATGTTTAAGCTTTGTACCTAAAGCATCGTCCCCAAAGTGGGGTGCACAGGAGATCTTTTGAGATTTGGGAATATAATGTCAGGATTTCTGTGTATGATTATTTATCTTATGTTAAAGCTCTACTCTTTGTTTATGATGCGTATACTATCTGCATGAGGGAGCATGCTCATATTTCTTCTGAGAGGGGCATGTGATTGGTTAAGTTTGGAGATCCTAGACCTACAGGTACAAAGAACAGGTCGCTCTGGTTCCCTGGAATTGAGGAGTCACGAGAACAGGTTGGAAGGACTGAAATCACAAGCTGCTGCTGCTGCTGCTGCTGGTAGTTTTAGAGTTTAGGCATCTGAGCCAAGCATTAAGCCTGTTGTGGGGAAGGGACATCCACCCTTCCCTATCACAGACCCCAGAGAAATCCCGTACTCCCAGCCAGGAGAGAGACAGGCTGGGCTTGGATATTTTGTACACAGTGCTGAGCTGAGCATGGGGAAGGGGCACATACAAGAGGATGAATGAGTGCACTCCAACCTGAAAAGGTGTCAGGGGATGCTCCTGACTCTACTCCATAATGAGAGGTGCTTATGCATCAAAAAGCTCTCCAGAGTAAGCATTCGGATCTTCCTGAGACCGAGTCACCACCTTGAACTGGCGCCGGAGAAAACCGCCATAGCGCTTCTGGTTGTCCCACTTGAGCTTGGGACGAATGCGCCGCAAGAAGCCCCCATAGCGTTTGTACAGGTCCTCGTGGCCCATGCTATCACCATCCCCCTCCCCAGCCACCTCTGAGCTCCTCTTGGGGTATTTGCGCAAAAAGCCCCCATAGCGTTTGACCTGCTCCTTGGGGTCCTCCTCAGTGAAATCGAGTGTGCCAGTCTCCATGGCACCATTGTTCAGCTGGGCATCCCTCATCAGCTCAGACTCTGCTCCCTCCCCAAACCCGCCAGAGAGACCCCTGAGCTTCTCCTCCAAGGTCTTGCTCAGAGTGTTCTCTGTTGAGATACTTGGGAGAAACTTGCTTTTCTCCAGCTCCTTCAGGAAGGACCCAGAGAGCTTGGCCAGCTCACTGTAGGGCCCTTCCCCAACCGACTTGCTCCCCAAGTCCCCCTTGTCATTGAGCCCAAGGGTGGAGGGGGTGAAAAAAGACAGAAAGCTCTGGCATCTCTCCCATTCATCAGAGGGCAGCAGGGCAGCCTGGCATTGCAGGGAGCAAATCTGTAAAAGACCCAAAAAGATCACAGTGGCAAATGATTAAAACACATGCACTGCTCTGCCCTAGGCTCCCCTGTCCAGTGTCTGACAAAATAAAAATAAGCACCACTGCTAAGCCCTGGGCTACCCATGTTCATACTCCTGGTGGTGCATAAAGGTAGGGGACTTTGTGCCTGTGAGAAAGAGAAGACAGACTTGGAGAGGTGAAATGGCTTTAGACCCAGGACACATGGCTGCAGGTGGCAATTGCCAGAATTGGAAGTAAGATCTTCCCGGAGTGTTCTGTGTGCTCACCCTTCCCCTTCCACGTCTGACTCCCAGACAGGAAACCCCACCTCCATTAAAAATACAAATTCTCTCCCAGGCTTCTGCAGGTGTGAAGCACGCTGCTAACTCTTGGTAAAGTAGGACAGAGAAGTGCAGAATGGCAGAGAATACACAAGAGGACACAGGAGGGTTCATCAGGCTTGGGGTGGGGGGCAATGGCATCA